TCCAAAAACCACACATCGGACTGAGCGCAGAGAGATGACGCTGGTCGGCCTCGTTGACCTGGAAGAAGAAGAAGAACTCACATGTTTGCACATGCGCAGTGCTCCAAGTTCTGGTAAATTAGCGCCTAGCTCTGCTTCAACAGCAGGATTTGTCCACGGCTACCTTGACGATGGCCGACTGAATTTCAAACATGTTGGATTTTCTCCCGACCTTACAATTCCTGATCGGGAGGCGGTCGCGAGAGGCTGATCGCCCCTCGTTAACCCCTGTAAGGATCAGCTTTTAACTCCACAATTAATTTAGGTGTAAATCAAACTATGTAAGAAGCTACTGAATTAAAAGCCACAAAACATTTAAGGGCCAACGTTGGTCCCTTGATTTGAATCACTAAATGTGAGGTTTTTAAGATGGCTTTTAATAGCCTCCTATTTAAGTAAGAGGAATATCACTTTACCCATCACAATAAATGAGTCACTTTTCACTAGTTGGGATTTTTCTATCTGAAACCTAAGGACCCATTTACTACATGTCAACAAAGATGTCTGCGCAGGCAGCATGGCAGCAAAAGTATGTCAGCTAGCTTGTCAAACTATGCAGAAACATCCATGAATAATTTAAAACAACATCCTTAACAAAACAGTTACCTGCCTTCACATCTGTACAGATCCTGGATGGGAAGATGATGTTAACAGGTGGGGTACACACTCAACCACGGAAATGAGCTTAGCTAAATAACACCCTTCTTGTTTAACAACCCTTTAAGGTTGTTTTATTTTGTATAAACTGTATACACACAGACGAGGGCATATCATTTAATATCTTTACCTGCCTTTGTTTAGAGCAGCCCCAAGGCTGGCTTAAGGTCAACACTGCCTCTTCTTTTCCTGCAGATCAGTAATAGTAAACCACCACTACTGCATATTAGATACAATGTAAATGAAAGAGAGGTTATCAAATTTAAATACATATTTACTTCCCCTGCAAATAAAACACACATACTGTCATTTGTTTATATGCTGCTACCGTTAGAACCAAACTGAACTGCATTCATTTGTGGCTCTCTGAAAACTGGGGTTTCTACAGAAACCAAAAGTCAACACATAACCTTTCCAGATACACGTTTGGCGGTGCAGAGGCTTTTTTGATAGTGAACTGGCTCCAATCAACCTGTCTGACAGCCTATAGCCACAGCTGTCTTCAGTGGCTCTGAAACAGACCGTTAGACCATTGGTATGAAGAACAGCTTAAGTCCTTCCCTAGAATATCAATTTGAACAACTGTAAACACAACGTGACATTTTAAAGCTGGTGTTGGTATCATTTAGCGTTAGACTTGGTCCTTCTTCCTCATATTTAAAAAAAAAGTAGTAAGGCCACACTACGAACTTCTGTTACCACGCTGAGTTTGAAGTTTTCTGCTGACATTAGAGATGCATCCGATACTGACTAATTAGCTGGATTGGAAATCTGGGATTTGATAAAAGAGCGCTAATCCAGTGCACTTCACATTTAACTGTTTTCTTTCTTTTTGCTGCCTTTTGTTAATAAATAATATATAGTACATTTATAACTGCATTAATTTGATACCTTTTCTTAACAATGTTTATATTGAGGCTAAATCCTTCACTTACATGGCAACATGTATGGTTCATTCATTCAACAGTTGAATAGGATCTGTATCGCATATCAGCCGATACGCACTGCCAAGGTATCGTTATGGCAGGGTTAATAAAGGAATCTAATTACTCTAATTTAGTGCCCTTTAATGCTCTTAGAAATAATGTTAATGCCATCAACAAGTACCCATGACTCTCATATATATATATATGTATATAT